ACATATGATTTGTGAGGTTATGTAATTGTTTATATTTATGTTTAATTATATTATATTTATGTTATTATTATATATTTAACAATGTTAATATAATTGTATAGTATGTCTATGATTGCCGTAAGACAATTAAACCGGGTTAATGTTTCTATGCACACCACATAAACAACACTGGTTCTCTCTAAAACATGGCGGAATGTCTGCGCGTACTTAATTTTCCATGGTGAGTGGGCATTCTGATTGTTTATTATTCTCTGGCAAGGTATGATATATTGCGCATGACATTGACAGCTAAGCCAGGCGTGTGACGTAGCAAAGATCCTTCGGACCAGTTATTTGTAATGATAGTTTAACGAATTTTTTTGACATTGTAGTAACTTACCGCGTTTTGCCTTCAGTTAAAGCCTTATAGTGCTTTAAAAAGTACCTGTGGTGTTTAGTTTATTATATCGTATACTAGTTTTTTGTAAAAGTTACTGTAGTTTACTTATTTTTAATGCTTTGATGTACGGCATCAGATCATATGGATTTTTACGTGTTTTCGTTGGTGTTTCCTGTACATAATTTTATATTTTTGCAATCGCCCTATATATGCTCTCAATGGATTGTTAAGAAGCAAAAATATATCTTTAAGGACAAAACTAAGGACACACAAGACTCTAATAAAGCAGATAGTGACGTATGCGTCTGAAACGTGGGTCCCAACAAAAACACTCATGCCTGGTTGCACCAATAGATCTTAAGCTCCAGCTTAGCCAAGCTCTGCTTATAGCTAGGGCTGCCTTAACTCTCACTTACGTTGCACCATAATTTTCGATTCTAAAATATTCTTTACATTCTTAAAAATAAAAATACAAAATTTGGTTGATCGCCGTCGGACGGTTTGGTCGTGGTCGGTCGATCAGTCTGAGCTGAGGCCTACCTAAGGCACGTCTTAAGCTTAAGATATATTGGTGCAACCAGGCATAAGAGTTAATAGTTTGGGAGCGGAAAATACTGCGCAAAATCTTTGGTCAAAAAAACTTAAATGGACAATTGATAAGAAGAACATATAATGAGCTAACGGAGCTCTATTAAGAGCCCAATATATTAGCGGTTCTTCTTCTTGATGTGCCTATCCGTTCCAAATGTTGTCGATCATCATGGCAATCTTTATCTTATCTGCAGCAGCGCGCAAAAGCTGCACAGATGTATTGAACCAGATTCTGAGGTTCTTTAACCAAGATGTTCTTCTTCCTGGATCTCGCTTTCCAAATATTTTTCCTTGCAGGATGGTTTGAAGGAGAGCATATCTGGATTCATTTCGCATAATTAGTCAGAAGAATTATAACTTTCGAGATTTGGTGGTGGCCAGTACCTCTCAGTACCAGTTCTTATTCATTCTTCTGAGGACCTCCTTATTTGTGACTCGGTTAGTCTACCCACGGGTTCTTAAGTATTCTCCGATACAGCCACATCTCAAATGTTTTTAGTTTTCTACACATATCTTGTTGGTCCATTCTTCATTTATTATGGTGCCGAGGCTGTTGTAGTGCGTCACTCTTTCCACAGGGGATTGGTTGACGTAGAGTTGACCTTCTGTTAGCTTTTTCTTGCTAATTATAATAAGCTTTGTCTTCTTAACGTTTATATTGTTGAGTTGAGTCCATATTGTTGACTGTACGTGATTTTGTTCATAATAACTTGTATGTCTTCTAAGTTGTCCGCAAATACTATGGTGTCATCTGCATATCTGATGTTGTTTAGTCGGTAGCCATTTAGTAGAATAACTTTTTCAGTTTCGTGCAAAGCTTCGATAAATATTCTTTCAGAGTATAGATTGAAGATTAAGGGAGACAAAATACAGCCTTGTATCACTACACGCATGATTTTCACATAGTCAGCGTGTTCATCTTTAACTCTGATATTAGCGGTAATTAAGGCAAAAGACTTAAATGGTTTAGCCATGTGCAGAGAATGATTCCGTCTAGAATTCCGCGAATGGTACTGTCTAGTCACTAGTGCATTGTCAAACAAAAGACGAATAGGAAGATCGAGATCAAAATGGGACAATTAAGTTAAAGAAGATATGAGAAGACTTAACATAATGAACTAGGAAATAAAAGTAACTGACAAAAGGAAGTTCAAAAGAATGGTATATCAAGCCATGGGCCTGCTAAATACGGAGTGCTTACATATTAATATTATTAAGATAATTTTATATATGGAAATTATAAAAGATAATAAAAGATAATATCAAAATATAATACCGTTATTTGTTTTGCTTATTTACTTCATTTGGAGTACCAGAAATCGAATTCACTACGAATATAGGCCATGATGAACGGCATTTGGAGTGCAATTTTTAGACTCCCTTGCCGATGCATTCATCAAGCTGTTTGCTTCGCAAGTCTTAGGGGGCACGGCGGCTTATATTTGAATTCAATTTCGCCAGGTAGAAATCGTATGATTTCTTTTTTTGTTCTTAGATGGCGTAGTTACGTCCGTAAATAGTTATTTTTAATAACTATAATCTACGACGGGAAAATATTTTGGTTTGATATGGAGTAGTAACTATACCGTACTGAGGAGATCTAAAGAGATTGAAATACGTATATGCGGCTTGTTGCTGCTCTGTATCAAATCAAAATATAATACCGTCATTTGTATAAAAGATGACATTTAAAACATTCTGTAATATTAGGTGACCTCGCTGCGCTCATATTCGATGGCCAGCTAGCTTATCCGATCTAAATAAACTTGACTTGATTTGGTGTGCCTAAATTACAAAGTGATCATTAAAGGGAATACCTTGTATATTTGAAAATAATATTAAAATTTGTAGCTGTACTTGGCTCAATTTTATGTAGATACCACTTTTTTGTATCTTTTTAAACAACTGAAATATCGAACTCTGGAGTATAAGTTAATCAACAATATGTGCAATAAAAAAATAATTAAAACATGTGTTATAGTGGATATCTCTGTTAACAAAATAACTGTAGGTACCCAATAATCAATAAAATTAAATTAGCTACAAAATATGTTTTATGATTAAATATTTGAGAAAATGAAATGAAAAACTGAGAAAAGCAACTTCAGTTGCTTTCATAAAGTGTTCATGGACACACCTATCTCAGGACTAGCAACTTCACGTGGAGTCATATGTCGCCATGTTACCAAAATAACGGTAACTTTAACATCTTAATATTTTATAAGAAATAGTGTAAAGTAAATTTAACTAAATAATATTTAACGGGTTTTTACCCACATATTTAGTGGCTACATTCATGTATACCTAGACACTGATGATGGAATATGGATTCCGAAAACGTTTTGTTTAACATAGCCCGATTGGTTTTTTAAATATATACCTTTTATAAAGGATTTTAATAATGTTTTTTTTTTTTTTTAATAAGAAAGTTACAATATCTGGGACACGTAATGAAGGGACAGCGATATGAACTGCTAAAGCTGATAATACAGGGAAAGATAAGAGGAGGAAGGAGTATAGGAAAAAGGTGAGTGTCATGGTTGAAGAATTTAAGGGACTGGTTTAAATGCAGTTCTATAGAACTCTACAGAGCAGCAGTAGATAAAGTAAAGATAGTGATGATGATATCCAACCTCCGTTTGGGAGACGGCACTTAAAGAAGAAGAAGGATGATATGGACGTAGCCATCGAGCAATAAGACAAAAGAGGGAATCTAACCCTTATGAAAAGGAGACCAAAAAAGTGGCCTCTGATGGCGGACATATCCGGAAATGCGAATGCGCCAAATTTAAATTTTCCGACACTTAACAGTAGCTATATAATATTTTTCAGAATGTGTCTTAGACGAGAAAGTTTTAATTAATTATTAATGATAAGAGTCTAAAATGCGACACAATTGTTAAAAAACTTCAATATAAATAAGATTTCATGTGACATTTGGGACAAACAATAACATAACCCAACTAAATTTGATGTCAAACAAGGAGAGAGACTCTCTTTCCTTGTTTAATGTGGCCTCTAAAGATCGCACTTCCTGTCTAACAATATGTTTGCCCCCACTACCTTTACATTCCCTCTTTTATCTTTTTGCTCGATGGACGTAGCCGAACAATCCAGAGATTGTGTATAAAGTGCCGAAAGTGCGCATGCGTTGATCGTTTAAAAGACATTTGTAATCAATGCCTATAGTAAAATTCATTAAGCGATGCAGGAAGATGTAAACATTAAATCGTCTCCGAACCGGTATGAACTGCTGACAACTTCGGCGGACGAAACAAAGATGGACATTTCGGTTAGTTTTTAAAATTTTTTTGAAGAACTGTTACTTGCATTTATGCATACAATATTCATTAATATTATAAATCGGATTATTTTTTCACTTACTATGTATTCAGTGATAAGATTAATTTATTTACTATGCAATAAACACGAATATTTGAGAAGAGAAAAAAAGTAATAAAGTGTCATAATTATACTGTTACTTATCGGAACGAGTAGACTCATTTGGAACATCTTTAACAATTATCTGTTAAATCTATCGTTGTTTATATGCCCTGCATCGCTTAATGAAATAAGGTATAGATATAATCTAGTCATTGATTACAAATGTCTGATAATATTATTGTTTTTAACTAAATGAATAAAAATTGGTTAATTTAACCAGTATGTACTTATTTTTCATCTTATTTTATTTAAAAACATCTTTTTTATAAAAATGCGACATTTTCATAATGGTTGACACCTATCCCCCAAGCATGTCATACTTAAACACACGCCTAACACAGGTTTAAGAAGTTCCTTACGTGCAAAGGAGGGTTCTGAAATAAAATTCCGCAGCGAACGTGTTAAAATAATTTTTAAATTACAAATTCACGAGCTCTCAGAGCATTAAAGTTTGTGGGTTTCACCGATACGACAATGACATTCGCGAAAATTCGAATCGAACATGCCAACACCAACAATTAATCAGTGGGTCAGTGCGGGAATCACTCAAGCTCGTTTATTTATATAAAAGTATCCTCACGAAGAAATCTCAGAATACGATAAGGTGGTGGACGTAAAGTGAGCAATACAATTTTGTGACTTGAGAAGTGAGAAGAAAAAAAGTTCATAGGTTAATTCTCAGTAAGTTATAATAATTTATTTTATAATATAATATTATGTACATTTTATGATTTAAATTTTTTTATTTTAGAACTTCTAAAATGTTTATAGAAGCTAAAATAGTTTGTGTGTTCTTATTCGTTATTTTCATGATATGTACAAAAAAGTACAAACTTATCTTAAACTTCATATATGACTTTTATGAAGATAGTATTGGAGTTAAACAAAAAGTAATAGAAAACAACATACTCCAAGAAATTACTATTCCCAAAAGTGTAAATTATCATTTCACACGAAAATGCAATTATGAGTGCGGATTTTGTTTCCACACTGCAAAAACATCGTACATGTTGAATTTAGATGACGCTAAAGTAGGACTGACCAAATTGACAGAAGCAGGTAAGACTATTTTTATAATTAATTATCTCTATTACCTATGAACAGTTCAAAGTCGATGGGTTTAAGAATATTTTTATCTGTAGCGCCTATTTTTATCAATTCAGTTAATTGTGGTGTAGGTAAACTTGTGTAAATTGCACTATACATATTATCCATGAATTCTGCTTCACTTACTGATGATTATACAATGATTTTTATTCTCTGGAAAACGTTCTTTTTGATGTAGTTTTCATTTAAAATGTTTTTATTTTTAAAAACCACCGCCATTACTTACCATGAAACAACAAGAAATGATAGGAATGACAAGTGTTTCTTATGGTCAAGAAGGGTAATTTTAACCAGTGTTGCCATAGTTATACAAAATATGTTTTCTTATGAAAAAAAAAAAACAAAAATATTAACATTTTATTCTTAATTATTACTTTTAATAAAAAATTACTGCTTTGTTAAATTAGATCATAGATAGGTATTTCATGTCAATGCCGAATCGCCGTCATATTCTTCGTCTGTCAAGTTATTAGCTAAATAAAAAACATGAATTAAAACCAGTGGCGGCGCAAGGTCATAATTTTATGTGGATAACATATATTTTTGCGAGAACCTCTGCTCGCATAATGACAGATTTTTTAAAATAAAAAATATGTGTCATTTCATTATTAAACTTTTATTCATGCAAAGTCTAGTCAAACTTACAACTAACCCAAAAATATTTAAGGTAATAAAATCTAACAACATTTACAATACAATACAATTTAATTTAAATATTACAGGAGCAGAAATTTTCTATTTTTTACACTGCTCAGTTAGTTTTACGGGCTCGTAACCTATCTTCTATGCTATATCAGCCTCAATAGATAAAATTGCGACTGCAGAAAGTATTTCCTGTGACATCTTCTTCTTCTTCCTTCTGGTATGTAGGCTTTAAAGCCTGTTTCTTATTCAATATTACCCTATTAGCTGTGAGATCGTACTTTTTAAATAATTCTTATGAGTTTTAATTTTGAGAAGCTCCTTTCAGCAGAGGCTGTACTAATTAGTATTGTTAAAAATATTCTACTGACGATACAAATGTTTGGGTATATTTCTCTTTAGTTATTATCTGTAATGTATTGAAGCAACTGTTTCACAAATCTATTATAAAGTAAGGTAAAGTAGTGATCATTATTTGTAATTCTTCATTTAATTCGTAAAGTTTAAAGTCACTGCCCTCACCCACTCGTAGGACTGTGTGTAAATCTTGACAGTTCTTTAATATTTTTTCTTGTGGAATATTTTCATATTGGTAATAATTGAATCAAGCATAGTGTTAAAAAAATTTGCTCCATATCAGCTTTTGGAACACTGTATAGGTTAATCTTCGCCCTCATAATCAAAAACTATTTTCTTTTTTTCTACTTTTTTGTTTTTAAATTCGTTCAAGAGATCATAACAGATTCTGTCAATAAATTGTTAATCATCAGACAAGCATTTTTCAAATCCAGTTTGCCCATATTCTTTGATCCAGTCACAAAATGTATACAAATGTTTAAGGTAATGCTTAAATGGACTTGTATAGATAGCCGTAGTTTGCTTATCACATTAACACGCGATAACAATTTATACCATACATGTTAAGATATTACAAATTCTATATTAAGCATTTTGTTTAATACTGATACACAATCAATCGATTTTTCAAACTTTCTTTGCATCCGACAACATCATCAAATTGAATTAGTACGGATTTAACTGCCTCGTTTCTGCTTTCCCATCTCATGTCCGGTATAGGCTCCATGGTAAGTTTTAATTTATCTTTGACCAATTCCCAGAGTTTGCTGAAACCTGAAAACGGCAAATAATTTTTTTGGATAAAACTAAAAAATGTTTTTGCTATCACCGAAGATAGTGGCGTCTACCACCAGCAGGTTCCAGCTAAGACAACCGCAAGCTGTGAAAAATATCCTATGATTTATATTTAATATTCGAGTTTTGACTTCACTATTTATGCCTAACCATATTTACGAAATTTTCGTAGTTTTGGCCACGGCAGCTTTGAATATCTAAGCCATTCTTTTCTAGTTCGCCTTATCTTCACTTTAATATTCTCCTGGTGTCTCATTTACAGCAAGAAATCCAATAAAGTGTTCTTCTATTGTGCCCGTTGATGTATTACAAAATCTTAAGATCACAGATATTTGTTCTTCTTTACTACAGTCTCTAGTGCAGTCAAGCAAAAAATATATTATTTTGTCTTCAATACACAAATCCTCATGGCGCGAGCCCGAGTGCGAGGCGAGATTTGTATCAATGAGTTTTACTTGATTTAGTGATTAATGATCAGTATGTTTTATTGGATGCTTGTGTTAATTTATATGTAATATCCATTTAAAATATATTTTCTTTTTAAAAACACTCACCCTTTGGCTCTACAGCCTAAGAGGACTGGCCTCCTTCAACAAACCTCGTCCAACGTCCAACTGTTGGATTATATAACGATTCTCCTCCATGAAACTATGAAACTAGAAGAAATGACAGTGAAGATAATCGAATCGTTTCATAGCTCAACCATCTCAAGAGAGTTAATTTTCGCTAGTGTTGTCATGTCATGTGCAAAAAATTGAAAAAATTGAAAATGTTGTCATGTTTTTCATTTATTACTTATTTAGTTTTTTTTTATTCTAAGTTTAGTGTTCTATAGTTTTCTTAGTTATAGTTTTAGTTTAATTTAAAAGTTGGTCAAAAGAATTTGATGACATGCAGTAAAAATTTTTAAAACTTGCTGAGTCTTCGAATTTTAATTCCCTAAACACTATCTCCTCCTGAGTCGCCTGCGAGCCAAAAGGCGTCTGATCTTTTCTTCTTACTGTTAGCTGTATGCCGTTGTTTCCGGTGTATTATTATTAAAAGGTAGGAAGCCAATGCAAGTAAAGATTGATTTTCCATTATAATAGTTTATAAATCTAATAGTTGTTACTTATACATATAAATCGAGTAATAAGTGAGGTTTGAAGTTATGTTAGATCTTTTACCACCAAAATTTTTTATAAAACATCGTTATATATTTTTGTTTGTTTTGTTTGTTAAGATTTAAGAGATTTTCATGTTTTTTAATCGTTTAAAAGTGGCAACAATGTGTCGTATACATAATATTTAACGTTGTGCGCATATTTTACATAATATAATCATTGATATTTATATTTTTACGTCCTTTTGTTATGATTAAGATGATTAAAACGTATTTTTGTTGGCTTTTAGTAAAAAATTGTAAATAGTTTATTACTCGTACTTTTTTATTGTTTTTATATTATTTTTTTTTTGCATTTTTACTAGTTTCCGCCAAATAAAACATTACAATTTGACCTTTTTTACATTGGATTTGATACTTCCTCTTCACTGCAGGAATTAGAATTTGCGTGTTTCGTGTTTTTCACAATGGTATCTTTTTCAGGGTATTCGTATATCTCTCCTACGGTTTGAAATGCAATCCCAAATCCGTGGAGACATTTTAAAATACTAAATGTTCCTTTATTCGAATTTGTTAAAACAGCGTATTATTGTTTAAATCATCACGTATCTTAAAATTCAGAATATCTTAAACAATGAGGTAACCAAATCAATGTATATTATTTGTTTATATTAACAGATGGAATTACTATTGATATGTTACTATATGTTACCTATATTATACAAATATATTTCTATGTTTTAATTAACTTGTGTCAACGTGTCTGAAGCTCTGATGGACACTTGCCCTTTAGGACATTTAAAAGTGCTAAGCACTGCTGATCCTATCATTTAATAATAATCGTTAATGCTAACCTACTTTTGTAATTTATTGTTATGTATATAATTTTGTTTTGCTTAATTTGAATATGTATTGGTGATTGTTCTTGCGACTAGTTTCCAAAAAACAAACAATGATTGTAGTAAGTTATGTAGTAATTAATGTACGTTTTAAATTAATTTTTAGAGGTAAAAAAATTATTAAAAATAATGTGTGTTAAACTAATGATGCCACAAAATTCATTTGATTTGAACGAACTCAAAAATTTGGGGAGATTTAGGGCTGCTCACCCCCCTTAAAATTTTTCTGTGCGCTTAAATTTTGTTGTTTCTTTTGTATGAAAAATTCTTGTTTCTTTTGTATGGAATATGCTTTCAGAACAAGAAAGTAACGTGTCCATTTTTATTACAAAATGTCAAGTAGTTTGGGCGATAACGAAAAAAAAAAACAATTTTTATTTTGTAACTTCAAAGGGCTGTAACTTTTTTTGTGTACACTTTTGTACTAAGGTAAATTGGATTCAATCAAGCCATTTTTGTCACCGGAATGCGTAATTTAATTTGTGACATACCTTTTTAAAACACCCTGTATATATTGGCAGCAATTGTAGCAAATACCGTCAATAACCCGTACATATTGCATATATACCGCTAATTGGCACAGTGCATAGTGTTTTAATTGAAAAGTCTAGAAATATTCTGTTCTATATAAAAATAGAAAAATTCCATTTTCAATCAAATAATCATTTGGGCTTAGCTCGGTAAAATACACGAAAGAAGAAGCAGGCATAAAAACAAAGACAAACGACAAAGAAAAAAATGGAGTATTCTTATCTATAACTAAAACAATTTTTAATTGAAGGTGATTACTTGGCAACATCGTACTTAACGAAGCCCTTAACGATAACTTTCCAACGAAATCGTGTTGAAATTATCAATTTTGCAGAGGCGTACCAAAAAAAATTTTAATTATTTATTTAAACACATAAGTAATTATGTAAAAATTAAATCTAAGACCGATTTAATTATTAAATTATCATGTCTCTTTTAACAGGTATTTTATAGTTGTCTAACAAAATAAAATAAAATTTTATTCTTATTAGAGAGTAACTAATACAGAACTTCAAAAAACAGAAAACTTTGGAAAATAATTTTTTTTTCATTAGACTAAAAACAATCTGCAATTTTAATTACACATCATTACACATCTTTCTCTATTTATAGAATTGCTGTGTGCT